CTCTGTTCATATTCTTGGCCACTGAAACTGCTGGAAATGTGATTATTTTAGTGATCCTACTTCTTTCTGAAAAGTTTGACATCTTTTTATATCAGTGACACTTAAAATTATTGTAATTTAAAGGTTTTAGGAAAGAGTTTCCCCCACAATTTTAACTTTTTGTTGTTCCCTTTGTTCATTGTGTTATATATGAATGATGTCCATTCATAACATCTGCCAAAGTAGGCTGTAGTCTAAAAAAAATGTATTCCTCTCTGAATGAGATAGTCTGAAGTCAGGAAGAAGGCAAGGTAAGGTGGTACCTTACATTATAAACTAACACAACTAGCTACCTCTTTCCCCATATTAATTGTGTATACTCCTAACACGGAAACATGGAGGAGAGGGAAAACCAATTTAAAAACTGGACAATGGGACTGTAAAACCAGACCAACTGTTGGGTGGGCCAGCAGTGTAGGTGCTGGTGCAGAAACTACTCCTTGTCCTTTGGGATTGATCAGAAATACAATTGGAAACAAGGGAGTTGTTCTCCAGTCTCTACCCATCTGAATGCTTTCACAAGACACTGTGCAAGTGCTGAGGATGCACACGTGTGGTTTTGCTGGGCTCCATGTACACACTGGATTTTCTCTTTCCATGGGATTGGGCCATGCCTAGAAGTTCTGTTGGTCTTGGCTTCCCTTTGGTAGAATAGCCAAGTGGGTGCACGCTGAGTGCCAGCCCTAAAGATGACTAGATGCCAAGCTGACCATGTGTTCCTTTAAATGAAGGCTTTAACTCTACAGTGTAGGATGGAGGCCATCAAGAAGAAGCATTAGTTTGTGGAGCTGCCATGACCTGGCCCAGATCAAGGAAGTCCAAGGAGAATGGACCTAGTGCCCTCATATCTCAGTAGGCCCCATACCAATTCTGGCATCTTGGGCATGGTTCTGTGGGTGGCAGTGGAGATTGAAGTGCAGTAGATGGAGATCCCCCAGGGCTGAAGCTGGCAACTCCTCTCTCCTGTTCCTCCATTGCAGGAAAATGCCTGAAAGAGAGGATGACTATTTGACTTCTGCGGCTCGCCTTTTGGAGAAAAAGAGGGAAATGGAAGAGGTGGAGCAGGCCCTGCTGGCCCAGAGAGAGGTAAATGCAGCAGCAGAAGTCTCCTTTTCAGCTGAACATCAAAGTGGTGAGGTCTCCGGGCCCTCCCTTCCTGGTGGGCCATGGTGCAGGGCCATCAGAACCTCATCTGAGGAATTTGAGATTGGAGGAAATTCTTGAGGCTGGTGTGTGCGTTGTGTGGCAGGATGGGGAGGGGATTTGCTGAGGGCTCAAGGGCAGGTGACAGGTAGCCCAATGTGGTCAATGTGGAGACCTCCTGAAGCTGAGGCATCCACAGAGCCACCAAGCTAGGACCAGTGGAGGTTCATTAAAACCAACCTGGGCTGCTTGAAATCTGGACAGTTCCATTCTGTCTACCAAGGATTACCTTTTTGGTTTCCACTTCTTGCCTCACTTCCTGTCACAAATTGCTCCGGGCTGTTAAGTAGCTGTTGAGCTCCACCCTACAGATGGTTGCATTTCTTCGCTGGCAGAGGAAGTGATTTGCATCTCTGGTTTGTCAAGCCTTTTGCATTCCTTTGGAGTAAAAACCCTCATGATGATCTGCTTAGTCTTGCACTGCACATTTCACGAACTGTGCCCTGACAACATTAATACAGCGTGCCCAGGCAGTAGAGTGAGTCCACATATGAGCCTAAAGATAATATCATAAAATGTTTTGGAGGTGGCACTGTAGGTAGAGAACTAAATAGCAAAGAGTAAAACAAATGTTAATTTTGGTGAATTACGTAAGTGAGCTATATTTAATGCCAGAAGCTCTCAGAAGCTGCAGGAGAGGAGGGCTGAGAAAGAGATGAGGTGGGGAACGCTTTCAGATGATTGTAAGAGGTGGAAGGTGGATTTGTGAGAGGCACCAGCCGCAGAGAAGGCACCCCTGAGATGGGAGGACTACTGGCTCCTGACTGTCAAGATGGAGGTTTCCATAAGCATCTCAGATGACATCCCACAGTGTTGTGTCTTATCAAATGCTATGTCCCAACTGCAGGGGGTTTTATTACCCAGCCCCTCACCATCTATCCTGCTCTCGTCACTCACTCTGTTGAAGGCAAAATACCTCGGCGTAGCCAAAAATGGCATGGCAGCTTTGTTCTATTTATGTACAGTCCCCTTGCAGTAAGTCTGGTTGGAGTTCCTAGGCACTACCATAATTAAGGCAATGGTGATGAGGATGAGTGTGCCTGGAGCTTGAACTGGGCAATTTTTTCCAGAAAAGTTTTTTTTTCAAAACAGTGCTGTTTTGGAAAAGATCAAAACTATTCACAAAATCTGGTTGAATTCAACAAATTTTGGAGAAAATGGAGATAAGCATTCAGAAAAGTGAAGATGTCCAAAGTCAAACATCTACGTGGGCTTTGTTTCAAAATGGCATTTCATGTAGGAACTCAGATAAATGTAATTAAAAATGAGAACAGCCCAAAATGAAACACATTATACCAAGTGAAATGATTCAAAAAGAAATTGCTTGGGGTTTCATTTTGCTGAGGGGAAACTGAAAGAAACGGGATGTGCACTGAGCTAAAATGGAATATTTTTTTCCGATTTGTACTTTTTGGGGCACTGATCTTCCCCCCTCCCACCAAACCAGATGTTCTCAGTGATCTGCCTGCAGTCCCCGGGTGCAACTGCCAGATCATAAATTCACCTGTGACCTCTAAGAGTGACTGAAGATGACTGGGACTGAGTGCGCTGGCAGAGGTACACACAGCACTATAACCATAGGCATGGAGTTAGAGGGGCATTAGACAAAGGGGACTGGACTTACTAAACTGTATGGGCTTGACACAGAGGAGCTATTTAAGTGCAACCCTAGGCTGGTCTGGCTGATCCTGCCTGGGTTGACGGCAGGGCTGAAACTGGGTATGATCAATGCTTAAAGCATGATCTTTTGCTGCTTACACTAAAGAGAAAGCTTCCTCCATCACAAGCAGTAGTAGGTTTGTACCTCCTAAGTGGACCCTTCACTAAAGGGAGACAGAGGCCTACACTCTGGCAGTGTATGTTACCTTTGCTCTGCAGTGTGCTGAATGGATCCTTCAGCACTAAAATGGGCCTGCTGCTGCTTCCACATTGCATTGGAGGCAGCCTTGAATTGCTGTGTTTCCATGTACAGAGTCTCCTCTCAGACCTTTAGTTGCTGCAAATCAGGGAGCCCAGCGCAGGCTTCTCCCTCCCTGATGGCATTGCTCTGCCCCAAGGAGTTCCAGGTGAAGATGGAGAGCTTGCAGCAGCGCCGAGAAGAGCTAGTGCATAAGGAGGAGCAACTCAAGGAGGCTTTCTTCAAATTTGATAAGTTTCTGAAGGTGAGCATGCTGCGGGGGAGATGAAGGGGGCACGGAGCAGGCTGTGGGGTAGCATAACAGGGCGGTGGGGAGGTGCAGTTTTCCTCTACTGAAGACAGGTTTGGCTGGTAAGGAATCATCTGGCCAAAGGAAACTCCAGTTGAGGAGCTGACCAATCCCATCCCATTGGGACCCAGTCTCTCAGATACTGTGTATGACCTCTTCCTTCAGGTGTGGTATGTGCAGCAAAGACCTGCTTTGAACCCTGCTCTGAGCTGCAGGCTGGTTTCACACTCCTGGCATTTGTAGGCTGGAGGGTCTGGTTTTGCTTTGACTGTGTAGAAGACATGCAGATTGAGCTGGGTAGGTCTGGGACTGACAAGCACCAGCTGGATCTAAGGGAGCAGCTCCCCAGCTGGGTACTAGTCATGGCTGTTATCCTCATCAGAGCTGGCCCCCCACTAGCCCACAGCCTTCTTGCGTGGTGGCAGTAAACATGAGCCAGCTGTGTGTGGTGGGGCCCTGGCCCTTGGGCATGACCCTTCTCCTCTCTGGGCCGGGTGGCAGGAGAATGATGCCAAGCGGCACCGGGCACTGCGCAAGGCGAGTAGGGAGCAGCTGCAGGCAGCACAGAGCAACGTGGAGGCCATACGTCTGCGCCAGGAGATTGCCCGGCTGCTCAGGGAGAGGGACAGGCTGCAGCGGCGTCTGGAGGCTAATGACATCTTCCGGAGCTACCTGCAGACGGTGATAGAGAAAACAGAGCAGGTGTGCTGGACCCTTCCCTGCAGGGTGCAGTGAGGCCCACTGCGAGGCCCCTGATCCACAAGCCTGGAAGAGCCCCAGGTCTCTGCCCCCTGCTCTGCACCGTCCCCAGCTGAGCCTTTCCCAGCCCCTCACCTCTCCCTCATGTGTGCTCCACTGGGGGGGGGCTTTGAATCTGGGCCCTGGGTTGGTTCCCCAGGGTCCCCATGCTGGGGAGGCCTGACCCTTTTGCCCCAGCCTGTTCAGTATTGTGGCCCCTAGCCAGGGATTCCTCTCAACTGTCAGCCCTGACTATTGGCCTGCTGGTCCAGGGGCAGGAGCCCTGACTCAGCCCTGGAAGAGTAAGGCAGGAGGTGGCAGGCTCTGCCCCTGTTCCCTTGGCGTGGCCGGGGTGTGGTGCCTCCTTGTGACTTGCATGTGCTGCTTACCAGTGGCACAGGACCTGGCATGAAGCACAGGAGGAGGGGCTGGGTGGTGAGGCAGCGGGGCAAGCAGGATCCAGTTCCTTTGCAAGAAAGAGAAGGATCAGGAGGTGTGGGAAGTCCCCATCCCTCCCCCACTGCTGGAGATCTTACTGTGGGTGACAGTGGGATAAGTGCAGATTAAAATCCCATACCCTGTGCTTTTAAGACACCTGTGAATGTGACAGGTCCCAGGCTGCAGGGCTGTAACCCTCTGCCTCCTATTAACTCCTATCTCTGTCCCCCCCTCCTGCACCATCCCTGTCCTCCCTGCCCTGCCTGGTTCAGTTCCAGGAGATCAAGGAAATGATTGACCGGGTTAGGACACTGGTGGCCACACAGGCAGTGCTGGTGCAGCGGGAACTGGGGAGTCGAGAGCAAGTGGAGGAGGAACATGCCAGGCTCCAGCGGTACCTGGAGGAGAGCAACAACAAGGTCCTGCAGTGCAACAACCAGCTGGCTGAACTGCAGACCCAGCTGGAGCAGGCCCAGGTCCAGGTGCACCAGTGGGTAGGTGGGGAGGCTGCGACCATTGGAGCCCATGGTGGTATCCCCGGGACCATGGTCAGTGGGCTGGGAAATTGTGCGTACTCTGCTGCGGGGCCTTTGAACGTGGGCTGTGGGTTGGTTTCCCAGGAGTCCCTGTATTAGGGAGGCCTGACCTATTTGTCCCAGGTTGCTCAGTATTGTTGCCCCTGACCAGGGATTCCTCTTAGCTGTCAGCCCCAATGTCCCCTCCTTGGTGGCACTGCCTACTCCAGGAGCCCACCCAAGGAGAGACAAGTGTCCTTGGGTGATGGTGCCCCAGGGAGGGGACATACCAGTGCCTCTTCGCTTTTGCTGCCTCCCTCCCCAGTCGGGTGCTTACTGTCAGCCACAGGGCAGGGGGTCTGTCCCCACCAGCTCCTGCCCTCCCTCATGTTCCTTAAACAGGCAGTGTGTGGGTCTCTACGGAGGCATGTGGGTAGCTGGGCCCGGCGCCAGCCTCACCCATGTGGGCAGCAGTGCCATGTGCGCAGCCAGCAGGCTGGAGCATAGCAGCGGGGGTGGCCTGTACAGCTGGTGTAGTAGCCTCTGGTAGGAGGGTGCTGGGGGGTGGGGGGTAGCATGAGCAAGGCAAGCACTGCTAGGGACAGTGGCTGGGCTGCTTCTTGCTGGTGCTGTTGTAAGCCCATGTGTTACCCTGCAAAAAGCTTCAGAGGGTGCCACAAAAACTCCCAGAGCTACCAAAAATCCATCCCTCCTGGGAGCTCAAAGGACAAGGACAGGGCTTAGGTCATCTTTTAGGAAGTCCCCCCTCTGCAGACCATGGCCTGGGAAGGCAGATGAGAAGCAGGAGGGTCTGCTGAGCCCTATTCGATTATTTTGGGGGTGGGGGGCTCTATCGCCTGCCAGGAACAGAGCAAAAGAGCTTTGTGGGGATTGGAATGAGGCTGAGCACTGGGGATCCTCCAGGATTTGAACTCAGGGCTGGTGGGAGAGAAAAGTAGCACCTAGCACAGGACACCAGGGGCTGCCCTGGATCCCAGATGGCACCAGGGCCTAGGTGGAACGGCCATACTGTGTAGGCTCCACCTGGTACTGGAACAGCCAGCGGGGCTAGGGGGCAAGTCTGCAGCAGGGTGATGGTGCTCACTGGGCTGTGGCTAGCAGTGTGGCAATGGGGCAGGAGCCTGGGTTTCCAGGTTCTGCTCTCAGCTCTGCCACTGGCATGCAGCAGCTCCCAAGCTGGCAGCTGTACCTCCTCATGCATTGCTTTTGTCATGTGTGAAATGGGTCAATGCCTCTGGCTCTCAGGGTTAGGATGCTTAGTTAATGAGCAGGGACTTGACCAAGCAGCCCACAGGTAGAAGGGGCTGACAGGTTGCATCCAGGGTGCTGGAGCAGGGATCAGAGACTCAGGCTGTGCGCCAGGGCAGGAGGCTTGCAGGGTGCAAGCTGGGAGGGAGCATGCACGGCCTGGGGCCAAGGAATAGGTAACTCTCTGAGCCTGCCTCACTGCAGGAGTCCAAGTGGACTGAGATCCAGACCACGGCTGCCAAGAAGACCCTTGAGCTGGGGCAGATCAAAATGGCTGTGCTCAACCTCTTCCAGATGGCAACGAAGCAGATGAAGCTGCAGGTGGACATACCCCTGGAGGACACAGAAGCTCAGCTTGACACGGTCAGAGCCGCGGTCGGCCTTTTCCTACAGCCCACCAGGCTCGAGTTCAAATGCTGAGAGGTTCCCCAGTGCACAGCGTTCTGTTACTGTGCAGAGATGCTCGCTCTGCAGGCTGCAGCATGGCCTGTGGCCTGCCGCCACCATCCCAGATGAAGCAAGGAGAGGGGCTGAGGCTGCCACACCAAATTCCTTACCCCGCTTCTTGCTGGGAGAGGCCAGTTTTGGACTAGCCAGGACTTCCCAGCACTCTTGCTCCACTTGTTGGGGGCTTCCTCCCCATACTTAGCACTTCTGGCCTGTTCCTGAGATCATACTCTGTGGTGGGAGTAGCCGGGGCTCCCCTACACTCATGCCTTCCCTAGTGAGGACACATCATTCCCTACAGTAATTAGGGGCATGACATAACATGGAAGATGGCTCCTGAGAAGCAGCCCACTGGGGTCTGTCCAGGCAGGGCTCCTTCTTGCGGTGACCTTGCCCTGTTTCCATCAGGTCCTACTCTGCATGACTGACCTGTCTGACATCCTTGCTGACCTCCGCAAGGGCGGCCCCCTGCCCACCCCTCAGACCTTGCCCCCTGCTACGACCTAAGCCACCCGCCAGTCTTCCTGCCATGGCTGCCTCTGTGGTGAGTTTGGTGTTGGGTCTATCCCAGGCCAACCCTGATGTCCATTGCTCCCCCGCTGCATCCCTACTTGCTGTAGTGAACACACCTTGCCCTGTTGTGCTATGAAAGCCGCCCTGCTGTGCTGCCTGGCTAAGTCTCAGGATGCTGCTGGCTTTGCAGCCTCCAAATCACCCCAGATCCTGCCCCAGAGGCATTTAGCCTTCCTCAGCTGGGTTAAGGACTGCACCTGCTAGTGAAAGGGCGGGAGCTTCCCCCAATATCCTTCTGCAGACAAAGCCTGCATTATAAGAACTGTAGTCAACCACAACACTGAGCCAGTGGGACAACCACTAATTTGGCCAACATTGTAGGACCAACCTGGAGCCTTCCAGGGCATAATACACTTACCAGCTGCATCTACGTGTCCTATTAATGCTGTAAAGGCTTACTGCAGAGTAAAATATTGTGCAGTAAGCCTTCCCTGGGAGCACATCTACACATGCTCCCTGCTGGGAGGAAATCTGCTCCCAATAGGACCAGCTCAGTACAGGGCTGTTCCTACCCTGCTCTGGCCCTGATTCCCCTGGGGTGCTAGCCTGGGCGTTGGCAGGGAGCGGGTCACTACCCTGATATGTACAGAGGACCAGGAGAGCTCTGCACGAGGACAAGCCCCATGCCCAGAGAAGCTTCACTGCACACCTGGGGGCTGGCAAGGAGCTGTCTGGGCTTCTGGGACAGCTCCCAGGGCAGTGGGGAGAAATCCCCATCCAGCCTGGAGCTGGCTGGTAACTGCCCCAAAAGCCACACAGCTCCCAGCCAGCACTGTGTCCCCTTCCCTCCCCCCCCCCCACGTGGGAAATCACCGGCCAGCCTGAAGCTGGCTGCCTGGGAAAGCAGAGCTCCCCAGTCCTGGTGCTGATCAGCTCCCATGGGGATCCAAAAGCTGAGCAGCGCTAGGACAAGTAGAGTTCCCTGTCCCCTGTGGTCCCCTAGTGTTGAGACTGACTGAGAGCAAATTTGTAACTGTGCAGTTAGTTAGTTTACTACCTGTATTTACAGGTACTAACTGTGCAGTAGACAGCAAATGGTGCGTGTGTAGATGGTGACGCTTTACTGCGTAGTAATTAGTTTACTGCATCAAATCCTGGGGATCAAATGGGAGGACCGCCAGACCAGCGTGAGCATCCTCCATTAAGCTGCTTCCACCAGCATCAAAACCTTGCTCTTGAGAAATCAACTCCAATGGACGGACCACTGTGGCCGGATGTCCAAGAACTGCCTCCCTTGCCAGATTCTCTTTTCCCAGCTCTCTGCTGGCCAACACTCAAAGGGTGGCCAAAAGAAATGGTACAAAGACGCATTCAAGGTCACCCTCAAGCACGGAGGCATCGACACCAATGGTCGGGAGGAGCAAGCTGCTGACTGTTCGGTGTGGCACCACCTGGTCTACCAAGGCACGCACCATTTTGAGGCCCAATGACTCGATTCTAAGGCGGAACGGCGGCAGCAGAAGGAGGAGACCAACCTGGGGCTGTGGATCTCATTCCCCTGTGCAACATGCCCCCATGGCCAAAGAATGTGTGTATCCACAACTGGGCTCCTTAGTAACCTGAGGACCCATCAGGCATGATGGACATCATCCTTGACTCTGAGGGACTGCTGCTGCCACCAAATTTACTGCGCAGTGAAGTGTCTCATGTAGACACAGCCACCTTGAGCTAAAGCACCCAGATTCCATAGCCGGGGTTGTAACACTCCTGTCCCCCCTACAGCAGGATACCTAGAACACACACTACCCAGTGTGTTAACCCTGTTATACCACAGGTGATCATTCTCTGTGGACTATCATCTGTGGTTATAAACCTGGCTCTACAGCCAGAATCCCATCAATGGTCAGGCACATATGCTGCAGTCACAGGGATTCTTTCTGCTTTTAACATTGGGGGTCCAGTTCAGTGGCAAAGGACTTGACTTCAAGTCAAGGCCCACGTTTGAAATGTAGCTGACCCCTATCAATAGTTGGGGTGGGGCATGACCCATGAGACCCCTTGGAATAACTGTTGTTTCTGTAGCATTTGAAGGCCCTAACCAGGCCTGCCTGCTCAGTGGGGCAGGAAGCAGAGCCCTTCAAAGCTTCTTCTGGGCATCGTCATCATCAATTTGCCATCTCTGTTGCAGGTTCCCTGGCAGCCCTGTGGCTGGGCCAAGGCCTCATGCGATGGCAAGAGGTTCCAGGTCCCTGGAATTGCCACTCCCTCTCCCTGGACCAAACCTTGGCAGGGACCATAAACTTCCTAGCACCATGATGCCCCTTTGGCTAGACTGGTAGCCCATCTCCATGCTGGACTGCCAGGGCCAGGACCCCAGATACCTGTGAGATGCTCAGGTGAATCTTGACACACTCAGGCCAGGGCTCACTGTATACCTCAGACCCTGTGCTCCAGTACCTCTGCCTACTGCCGTCTTGTTAACCTCCTGCAACTTAGAGTCTTCCAAGCTTCAGTACATCTGATGTACAAAGCAGCTGTAGCCACGAAGAGAAGATGAATTAGAGCCACAACAGTCTCACTTTATTGGAATGATCCCTTTTCTGCATTGATACCGCAGCCTCATGTTAACAAGACTGTATCAGAAAGCAAAGCCAATTTTTGCTGGCACTGTGCTGGGAGCAGAGAAAGAAGCACTGGTTCATTGAGGTAGGGGGAAAATGTCTGTTGTGCCTGGGTTCCAAATACAACAGGGAAAGGTTTAAAGACCATATAAAAAAAAGAAAGGCTCTGATCAGCTGCACACCTGTCTGACTGTACTGGGCAGAAAGGAGATGTCAGGCCCCAGGGAGCAACCTTAAGCAAATGAAGTTCCCTCAGTGCATGGGGGTGACTCAGAAAGCCAGGCGGCCACCTTTCTCCTGCAAGCTTGACTTGTAGGCGAGGCTGGATTTTTCTTAAAAGATCTCCAACTATCATTTAAGATGGGAATCTCAGTTTGCACTGGCTATAGATTTCTCCTTCATTTGGGAGAGCTGCCCATCTGGACAGCTCCCCATGGACTCTGCATAGCAGAGAACAGCTTTCTAGGTTTCTCAACCCATGGGTCACGACACAACAGTGGGTTGCAGCAAGAATATATGAAAGGGTTGTGAACAAACTTTAAAAATAGCTTCTCCTTTAAAGGAGAAAAACATGAGAAATCATGGGTTTTCCCTTGCAGGTTGGTAAACTCCCTGCCTGCAAGGGGCTGCTTTGGGCTTCCCCTCCATACCCCGCTCCCTCGCACACTGGGGGGCTTGGGGTGGGGGCAGTGGGTCAGGAGTAAGGGTCACTAGATCAGGACTAGCCCTTGATGTTTACAAATGGGTCCTGGTACAAAAAAGGTTGAGAACCACTGGCATAGAAGATATATCTTTAGAACAGAGGAAGAAGCACCTGTTACTTTCTACTGCTTCTCTGCACAGTGTCCACGCTGGATTCCTAGCTCTTTCATTCACTGCATGCCTGAGGCTTTTCATTAAAAGGTGGCCTTTTTACAAGGCATGTTTTCAGGCACATGTTGATCTTAACTTAGCTCTCTTTAACAGAAACTTCAACACTTGAGGGCTAGAATTATACTGTGGGTGTCTGGTGGTGTGCGAGAGCCAAGGGGAAGGCTGGAGTACAGTTAAACTTCCTATGGGTACTGAAAAGGGTCAGTGAAACTTTAAAATGTAAGGGCATTCCCTGCCCTTAACAAGGAAGCCAAACAGGAGACTTCGCTTCCATGCAGAATGCAAAGCGAAACTTTTGTGGAGCCTTTCATGCCAGTCTGGGTTTCCCAAGAAATTAAGAGATTTGTTAAGAGATTTGTGCTGTTTCTCAACTGCTGCTTTTTTTATTCCCAACCCGGCTGAACCAGAAAGGGGAGGGAACTATGAGAGAAGTTCCCTTCCTCCATTTGACTTTGGAGCTAAAAAACCTCTCACTAGAATATAGCCAGAGCTTCTGAAGTGATTTCAAATTAAATGACAAGTTTCCAGTCAACTCAGGAAAGAAATGTAACTTCTCTCCCTCCTGTTACTTTTGCTCCCCAAAAGAAATGGGGCTTTTAAGGTCAGCAAGTGAGCTTGGCACCAGAACTGCAGAAGGGCAATAGGGAGTTTGGTTTGAAGTTTAACAAGGCTCCAGACAGGGCTTAGTACTTCCTATGGAGGGGAAGGCTAATATGTTGTCCATTAATGCAATTACCCTCAGCGTCATCTCATACTGAGTTATCTGGGCAAGGTCTGATTTTGGTAACAGGAATGTTGGGGCCTGGGCCCTGTTCATTTCCAAATCTCTGGAGCATAGCTGGACTCTAGCTTATACAACTAGGAAGCAGGGGACTGAGCTGCAAGTAAGCTCTCTCAGAACTAGGGCCAGGGAAGAAAGCGAGGGTTAGAGTTATTCCCTACACGCGTTCAGCAAGGTACTGCCTTGCCTTCCCCACTGAAGCACTGGAGGTGCAAACACACTGCTGCCTCTGGCAGCACCAGGTGGTACCAGAGCTGCCTACCTGCTGGCAGTTGTCACATGCCATTCCCAAGTACCTTTTTACAGTCACCCCTGAGATGCTGCCACAATGAAATAAGAGATGCTGCAGGTTGGCAACCAAGGTTGCCTGGGCCTGCTGTGTCCAGCTCTCCCTTGGCTAAAGGCTTTCAGGGGGCACTGAACAGATTAAAATGGCAGCTGTTCTTTTCTCCAGGCCAGAATACAGCCCAGGTCATTGCACCCATGGTCACTGTCTGCTCTGATGAGCTGCATTCATAGATTCATAGATTAAGGGTCTGAAGGGACCTAGTAGATCTTCTAGCCTGACCCCCCGCCAGGGCGGGAGAACAACAAAAAACCCCAAAAAGAGAAATGGGACTCAAATGAGTCCAGCCAGGTAGGCATCCAGCCTCTTCTTAAAGACCCCCAGGGTAGGGGCCAGCACCACTTCCCTTGGAAGTTGGTTCCAGCTCCTAGCCGCCCTAACTGTGAAGTAGTTTTTGCGGATGTCCAATCTATACCTCCTCTCCATCAACTTGTGCCCATTACTCCTTGTTATGCCAGCGGGCGCTAGGGGAAACAGCGTCTCCCCCAAACCCTTCTGGTCCCCCCTAGTGAGTCTATAGACAGTCACCAGGTCCCCCCTCAGCCTTCTCTTGTGGAGGCTGAATAGGTTCAGGTCCCGCAGTCTCTCACTGTAGGGTCTGCCCTGTTGTCCCTGGATCATGCGGGTGGCCCTCCTCTGGACCCTCTCCATATTGTCCACATCCCTCTTGAAATGGGGCGCACAGAACTGGACACAATACTCCAGCTGTGGCCTGACCAGCGTCGCATAGAGGGGGAGGATCACCTCCTTGGCTCTACTCGAGATGCACCTGTGGATGCATTCAAGATGAGCAGTCAAGAAATTAAAATTCAACCACCGTGTTGTTTAATTTCCTCTCAGCCCAGAGTCTGTACTGCACATGTGGCTGGGGGAGGGGAGCAGAGATAGGGCACATGGGCTGGGTATCAGCTCCTGGCTCAGAACAGCCCAGCAGACCAAGCCTTGTGTGCCCAGACCCTTCCCCAGCCCAGCCCCTACAGCCGCTTCCTCATCTTGCCCTTCTTAGCACCTGCCCCCCGCCCAAAAGCCGTGCGCCGCAGTTCCTGCACCCTCTGCCGGTTCTTGGCCTTGAGTCGCCGGAGTCCGCCTGCCTGCAGGAAGCGTTGTTTGGTTGCCTTTCTCCTCTGCTTCAAGATCTGCTGCTTGCTCCTCAGCTCTGAGTGCACCTTCCCCCGCGGGGCTCCGTCCCTACCTGGGGAGGGCTGTGGGTGCCTGGTGCCTGCAGAAGATAGAGCCGTGTTACACAGAGCTCTTGGGGGCCTGGGTCTCCAGTCCCTGCAGATGCAGAGACCTGGTGCTGGATGCTCGGCCAAGAACCAAGTGGCCAAAGGACTGGACACTGCTGTGGGGCCTCTGCCCCTGACAACACATTGTATAAATTGAGCATACCAGAAGGGCATGCACCAGAACCTGCCTCTCCTCCCCACACTGTAGGACCATAGTGACAGGACAGTTAGCAAGGGTTGGTGCCCCCCATCCCAGACACTCACCTTGCCCTCTTCCACGCCTGCTGCCTCTGCGCTGGCTCTCCCCCTCCTCCTCTGAGTCCCTCTCATCAATTTTGTATCTCTGCTTCCACTTCTCGTAGCTGGGGCAGCAGGCTAAGGGGACAGCTGGGATCTGCCCTCTGCAGGGGAGCTGGACCTGTCCCCACCCCACCATCACAACCCTGCTCCCTCCCTTCCCCACC